TTTTAGGAGGTAACGTCGAATCACAAACAGTCGAAGTAAAAAAGAGAGAATGCGAACACGATACAAATTCCACACCAGCATCAAAGCGAAGTAAAATCGAAGAAAATAAAAAGGTACTACATTCATTTTAATAGCCGAATTTTATTGAATCTCATTGCTAATAGATTCATTTATATTTCCTACAGCATCATTCAAACATCCAAGTAGATGAAACACCAGTCCATGAAGCAAATTGCGTTTCAAATAAAGCTAGTAGCACCGTATCCACACTGCAGTTCAAAATTGGAGAGATTGTATGGGCGCGAATCAAAGGCCACCCGCATTGGCCGGCGCAAATTAAATCGTTCCCATCTAATAAGATGGCGATAGTTGTATGGTTTAATGATTATCGCATCACGAAATTATACAAAACACAAATATTCAAGTTTTTAAACCATTTTGATGAATTTTCCAAAAGATTTTCGGATACAGTCGGACTTGAAACGGCTGCACGCGAAGCATTGATTTCATACGGCCATAACATTAACGCCAATATGTTGTTTTAATTTTAAGAAAATAAATGATTTTAATGATATTTGGAATAACAATGCAATTTGCTTGTAAAAAGAACATTTCTTCAAGTCAATAAACTTTTATAAAAAAGCGAGGTGAGTTAGTAATATCCAGCTGACATCGAGGTGAATCTGACAAATGTCAGAATGTTAAATGTCTCATTTTGGAGGGGATGTTTCATTGTGAAAAACATTCAAACCGCAAAAAATATTTTTCGCGAAAAAAATTCGCAAACAAGTTTGAAATTGGCATTTCCAAAAACATCAAAACTGATCATGGCCCATTTCAAGGCCCAAAGAGTCGATTCTTTTCGAAATAAACCGGTGTACAGAAATGTAAAAACATTTGTTGAAACTGCACTTAAGGAAGCTAAATCGATTGTTGACGCCGAAAAAACATTTGAAGATTGCATCGCGTAAGTAGTTGTGAACTGATTCTTCGATTTCATATGACAATGTCTATTTTGAATTTTGTGTGACAATGTCTATTTTGTAGTTATATTTGATTAGATTATACATTTTTTTATACAATTTCAGGGATCCACTTATTGCGAACACTGTCAAAGGTATGGGATTCAATTTTCCATCTTTGTTCCAGTATGGCTTGCTCTCACAAATGAACGACGACAGTCAAAATTTGGTTGTAGTTAGCAAACCCGGTACTGGCAAAACAGTCGCTGTTAGCATTGGAGTGCTAAATTACGTCAACCGAAAACAAAATTATCCACAGGTTTTGTACTTGTGCACGACTCATGAAGCAGCTGTACAAACAGCAAAACAGCTAACCGGAATGGCTATCGGAACAGAAATAAAAGTTGGCACTGCCTTGAAAAATTCGAACGGTATATTGACATTTCTAATCAAATTTTCGCAATTTTCTGAAACCTAGAAAATCTGTTTGATTTCAGTCACACTGGGTCATAAATTGAATTGCCATGTTCTGGTTGGAACTCCAAAGGAAATGGTATCATTCAAAATAATGCGACATTTCAATATTGAACAAATCAGCTTATGCGTGTTTGATGATGCCGATACGATAGTGACTACAAAACTAATCAAGGATCACATCATTGCAAACCTCACACAGAGTCGAAAAGTGTTGATGTCGTCCAAAATCCAATTCAACATCAATTTCGCGAAGCCTTATGCTATCAAGTTGGATACCACAAACGTCAACGTGAAACAATGTTACACATTTTGTGAAGATGATGGCGAAAAGATCATAGCTGTTCTAGCAGTGAATGAGATTTTGACTACATTGAAAATTCAAGGAATCATTTTTTTTGAAGTGAGTTTTATGTCATCTTCTAGCTAATAGCAGTTATCAAAACTAAGTTATTAACTTGGAATTATTCAACTTTAATTTTTCTGCAGACTGGAGAAATGGCTGAACAATATGGAAACATTTTGAAGTTGAAAGGTGTGTCGGTTGCTTTGCTACACCGCAGCTTAAGTGTCACTGAAAGAAACGATGAATTGGAGCAGTTCAAATGTGGTCATCGTATTTTTGCAGTCGCTACCAACCTATTGGCACGGGGTGTCAACCTTCCAAACGTGAAAGTTGTCATAAATTTTGAAATTCCATTTCATTTTACAAACCAAGACGTCGACGCCAATCGATATGAATATCGAATTGGTCGGTCTTGCCACATCGGTGGACAAGGTATTGCGATTAATTTCGTAGACAGTGTCAGCAAGCGTTTGATCGATCGTTTGATGACCCAACACTCAATTACACTGATATAATCCATATATTATGTACACAAAAAAGTGAATTGAATAAAGTTTAGTGGTTTCAGTGGTACTTATAATCACTATTCACAAATATCTGAAAAATATCTAAATTCATGGTCAAAGATAAGATATTATCTTATCTTGTAAGCATAAGATAAGATACTACCTTATCTTTTATCTGGATGCTAACCACTATTTTTTCCCATTATCTTATCTTTATCTATATTTTATTTTCTTGCTTTTGTACAACACTGCACTGCACACAAAATATTTCTACATAGTTCTGCTACAATGGAATGCATAGAACTTCATTCGCTATGCATTCGTATACACATTTTGCATACTGTATGTCTTACTTATAGTTACAACAGTATGCAAAATGTGTATGCAAAATGTGTATGCGAACGCATAGCAAATGAAACACTATGTGTATAACCGTAGTCAATGTCTGACAATGTATTCCTTTTTTTGTGCGTGGAACGGATTCCGTGCGCTTATGTGTAGTATTCCAATTTCTCTACTGACAATGAGCTGTCATTTCAATACATTGGAAAAATATGCATGCAATTGGTTTTAGCGTGCGCCTGTGTTGTATTTCAATTCACAGTAGCCATTTTAAGCAATTGTATATAATACAAACAATACAGCGGCTAAATTCGAATAAACCGATTGAAACCGCAATATTCATCACATCAAATAAATTCACCGTTTGAACGTCGCGCTTACCGCGAAATTTTTTAAAAATAGACGTTAAATCGAGTTAAATTCATATTTTATTGGTGAATTCTTAATTCACCGTTTGGAATTTTTCGACTCACATTTTCAAATCTTAGTTCACCATTTTGGACTTGATTCACTCTTATTTTAAGCTCTGCAATTCATGACGACGTACTTAAGCAACAAATGCAATGCTAATGAATGAACAATCATAATGCATTATTTTAAACTTATTCATTATGACTGTATTGAATACGGTAAAATCAAATAACTGCTTTGCATAATTTTTTATATGAAATTTGTTTTGAAGTTGAAAAAATTTGTCTATTTCGATAAGTTGTGTTCAGTGTCGACGAGACTGTGTCGCCATCGATTGAAAATTACTAATAATATTTGACGGCATACTTTAAAGTGGAAATGTCAGCCAACATCGAAATTCTCCAGGTTCTTTACGTTAAATCACTGAGAAATCGTCGATTTTTAGGACTTTTCAGCACTCGAAATTTCATGAACAAAAAGACATATTTACTTGAAGTGGTTGTGTAGCCGCATTCACTTTATCCTTCGGCTGTGTTGCCTTTCGCTTCGATTGATTCAATTTGAACTGTGGCTTTCGTTTGGGTTTACCTTTAAATTTCAAAATAAGAATTACTCCAAGAAAACTCATATGCGCTCATATGCGCATGTAGCACTTCCAAAAAAATCAACTTACGCTTGCGTCCAACCATATTTTCGTAGAGTTTGTCCGTGGCAATATATAATAATGGCACACAAAATAAATATTTCGTAGTACACAATAACGATTAAAATTATCCAATGAATTTTATTTAAAAAAATCATAAATTGTTTGTTTCGGTTTGTTTAATGTCGATCTCACTTTCAAAATAAACACTGATTACTGACAGTTCAGTGGAATGAAGTGAAGTGCGTTGAGGTTGTAGTACTAGATCCGCTGTCAAAGTATACTTGCGCTACATTCTTAGGCTAATTTTCGACGAAGAATTCGAAAATACAATCGTTTGTGGCCAAAAATGAGGTCCAGTGCCTTGATTTGAAAAGTTGTGGTGAGATTGTGCGATTTTTTCACCTTCTTCTTCAATAATAGCCTCCCTAATTCCAAATTTGAACCATATAAATGAAAAATTTTATACGCCAAAAGAAACTAGACATCAAGCGCTACATTTGAGAGACACACCGCTTCTGCGTTGGTGGCTTAGAAGCAATTAAAAATGGTTGAATTCTTGCAGGAGTATGGTTTTTCAAACTGCCGACCTCGATTTGGGGTAGAAGCGGCGGTTCAATGTAGTTGGAATGCTCTACGCGTAAGTAGAATTTTTTACACGGATATTCCGAATATTATAGTGATTTGGGACTAAAAAGGGTTTCCGTCCTGTATTTGCCCTGAAATAGTGATTTTTGGTGATTTTTTGACTTTTGGAGCCTCCTTTGCTCTTCCAAAGGGAAAAGCGACGTCAACCATTGGTATTTTTAAATTTTTTGGAGTCTGGTGAGCATTTTATCAGAACACATCACCAGCGCCAGACCACCTATTCGGTGTGAAAAAAAATTATGTAGTCGAAAAACCATGAAGAAATGGTAAATGGTGACCACACCGAATATTTTTCTGAAAAAATATGAGGTGGCGGATAGTTAGGGAATATCGAAAAACTCAAGAATTTGGGCCGACTTTTAAGCCAAAAAAATAGAAAAAAAAAATTCCACGTCAAAAAAGAGTTTGCCATTTTTATACTTTGAACCCACTTTTCAGAGCTTGAATGAGCCCAGAGGTCGTAGGAGACTTTTTTGTAGCCCCATCAATTATCTATCCAATCATGCATATATTTTCGAAAGTTTGTACCGCACTTCTCATAGTGAAAAATGTCAAAAAAGTTCTATATTCAATTTTTCGTAAAATATATTTTATGTATATTTACCGGTGGTTTTCATTTGCGAGCTTGATCTAATGATCATTCATTCCGTTTTTTATCTAATAGCACCGCTAAAGGATTTTCACGGAGCGGAGACATCCGAATTTCTGTTGGCACCCCATTGCTATGTGCTTGGCTGCATATGAACGAAACAATAAAAATCCATTCAAAACTTTAAAATGCTTTACTCACTCTGAAGCTCAAAAGTTCAGAAATAAAAAGTTAAGATGGCGCCACCTAGGCCCATATCACCATCGATTCATTATTTACAATATAATTATTCACGGTACGTGTCAAATAATAACTCGCACCAGTTGTGAAATTCAACAACATTTTCATAGCCAAGCGGTCACAAAAAACTCAAGCAAAATCGCTTAACAACCAACAAACCATCAAAGGGAACCCAGACACTGGTAGGCAAATAGGTAAATGTAAAAGTAAATAAAAATTTCCGTGCAGGAATTCAAAGAAGAAACACCCCATTTCATTGAACGGACGATTACGTTCAGCTCGTCAGGCCGACGATGGGGATTTTCAATCATGATTCTTAACTGAAATGTGTTGTCGAACCATAATCTACTCAAAATAATATATTATTTCTCCTCTCATTTCAGGGAATGGAAGGAAAAAACACAGAGAAAGAAAAACCATCAACCGCTACGATGGTAAGACACGAAGATCAAAAAATATAGAGACAAAACTGCATTGAAAAGTTAATAATAATAATTTCAGGTACATCGAACCTGGCGCTGTCCAAATTGCAATGCAAAAGGAGTTGGACCACGCACATTGCGCGATCATGTGCTTCGCAACGGCTGCAACGCACCACGCGACAAGTATCTAAAATCACCTACTCGCAAAGAGTAAAGCCAAACAGCCTTCAGCTTTCGGCGATTCTTTGTAAAAGCATGGATATGATCCAAAACAGAATGTCAATAAATTTCTCGTGAAGAGATACATAAATGAATCCATAATTCAATTTGTTTAACCTCCAAAACACCACATCTCCATACAAAATGCTTCCATATCATCTCAAAACTCTCTACTGCTATCTCTCAAAAAATCACGCTGCATCCTCCTAAAAAATCATTCCGCAAATCTCAAAAAATCCACCGTAAACCCGAAATATCAAAATTCGAAATTATAAAAGACCGCGCGATTTCGAAACATAAATATGAAATGCCCGAAAAAGCTATTCTTTTAGTATAAACAATCCGATAAATGTCACCCGTTTATGTCAACATCATGCCAAACCAAAGCCTATCGGAAAACGCTGATCTAGCACAAAAATCATTGATCATCATGAAAGATTAGTCATGATGAAACGACATCAATGTGGAAAGTGTTCAAACAGCTACACGAGAAAAAGTAGTTTGGAAACCCATATTTCCTCCATCCACGACAATCAACAGCCCAATTGCGAATTCTGTGGAAAAATCTACGCAACACCCGGCAGTTTGCGTGAGCATAAAAAGCTAAAGCACCAAAACAAACGAAATTTCGGCACAAATACCGTGGATGGTGTAAACAGCGCAGGAAATTGGGAGTGCCGTGCCGAACGCGACAACAATTATTGTAACAAAACGTACGATTTCAAAAACCGATCACAATTCGACAGCCATATAAACACCCATCCGACCGCCGAAACATTTGGTACGCGCGAAATTATTAGCAAAAAATATACCGAAAAATCTATTCAAAATGGAAACAAGTAAACTCGTTGTGAAACAGGTAAGTGAAAACTAATTTAAAGCAAACGAAAAAAACTATTCATGAATAAATTTCCAGACTTGGTGCGATGTGTGTTCAAAATATGTGAATACAGGAAACTACACACAGGGAAATTAGTACTTGAAACTTAGTGCGAGCAATTTTTTTTTTGAATTCACACCCAAAGTTTTTTTGCGTGGTCCAAACATTTTTTTCCGCAAAAAAAAATAATTGTCTGTGCTATATTTCTAATATAAGGATTACAAAATCATTTTTCATCAAAAATAAATTTAGTTTGCATCGAAAATAAAAAAAAAACTGACCGACAGATTCAAATGTCCAACGTTTTCGGTCTAAATTGGCCGACGGCTTTCATTTCCGACTTTTAGCTCATGCTGAGTACATGACGTTTGTGTCGGACAAACTGTCAAAATCACTTTGACGTGCATCTGTAGCAGATTATGTTCAAAACTCTCTAAATTTGTGTTGAATTTCACATTTTTCTAAAATATTTATGCTCAAAATAAATATGAAAAATGTCGAAACAGATGACAATTCGGGTAAAAGTGTTAGACAAATGTGAATATTTGGAAGTTACAGACGAAATGCTAACGAACCATGAAATTTTTGTGAGACACGGTAAGTTTTTCAACGAAAATTGTGAGCCCAATTTTTTCAAATGTTTCTTTTCTCATTTCAAGTGCTCGATAGTTTCGGTCTTGATCCAACTCAAGCAGCCAGCACGTATATGTTTGACCAGAACAATTTTCCGATACCAGTGAATTTATTTTTTCAGCCATTATTCCTCAATTTTTGAATCCGGCTGTATTCATAAAACTTGTGTTTACTCTTCATGATGAGATGGGGTTCGATCTGGTTAGAAAAGTGTTATTGAATGGCTACTTGGATATTTTACTAAACGGACAATTTTTTTCTTAGACTCTCGAAGATTTCCTGAAGAATAACGGCTGTCGTTCAATTTTTTTGTTGGCAAAAGAAGCCTGTAAAGTCAACAAAGAGTTAGATGTCAAGAGCATTCATTACTTATCTGACAAATTAGTTCATTTCATGGACTATAGTGAAGCTGAAGGCAATAAGGTCGATGCACAGCAAGTTGCTGACTCGTTAGTTCGCTTAATGCCGTGTATAAAAATGGTAATAGAATGATTATTGGCTTTCTTTCAAACATAAAACAATTATTTTTGGATTTCAAATGCAGGAAACGTTGTACAAGCCGAAAAAAGGAATCTTCTTCAACAAACTGAATTATCGCAAGTACGCCAAAAATCCAAAAAAGTCACAAGTGGAGGAGGACCAAGAATTGCTTCCTATTGTCGAAGTAATGGCAGAATTGACAATTGATGAAGAGCTTCAAATGTTGCTGTATTTCAAAACATGTTCGGTTGAAAAAGATATCGATGTTTTGAAAATAAAACTGAACCAAAGCGTGAAATTGCGCGAAAAAGTGATTCGCAAACGTGAAACTAAATTTGCTGAGTCGTTCCCGTTTTATTTTGTTGCTCCAGACTTGGTAATTTAGATTGAATCATTCTTTTTGAGAACGTATTTTCATGTTGCTTGTTATTCTACAGATTCTGTATGATTATACAATTCGGTTCAATAATGATGAGGCTATCACCAAAAAGTGGCCAAAGTTGATGATTGGAATTTTAAATCTATTAAGCAAGGCGGATGCAGAGGAATGCGAACGTATTGGCTTTGATGACCAAACCACATCTTTCTTGATGCTACTTCGTCAATTTTCAATGAAGAAAACCTTTGACTTGCATGTGAATCAATTTATCGTGTACTCGAATGTAAGTTTTCCCATTTTACTATTTCACACTAATCAAAAATAAGATGTTTGATTTGGATTTCGTTTTTAGGATGAAAATGGAAGTCCAGAAAACTTGAAAGATAAGAAGAATACTTATCCATACATAATAGCGGTCGGACAAAAAAAGGATAAAATTTCTAACTATTACATCGACATCGAAGAGACTTTAATCCCGGTAAAATTTCAATCATATTTCTTTGAATGTGAGAAAAAAATCAACAAATCTTCAATAAGTTTTATGTGTTTCTCAGGTTCCTTGTGATTTTGACTTTCTGAAGGCATTCGACATGTTTTTCAAATGCCACAAGGTATTCAACATCAACTATCACCCAGGCATTATCAAATTGATGCATTTCATTGATTATTATTTGGTTGGAGACAAAGAAAACGTGGAAATTTCTCTTACCGTGACGATGCAGAAGACTTCAGAAAAACTCAATGTTTGTGAGCTGTTAAATGATGATTCGGTATCATCTGAGGCAAAATGAGTGATCGATTCAAGTACAAATTTATGACTTAAGTGAACGCCAAGCAATATAAATGTAATTATAGGAGTACAACTTTTTCAAATATTATACATACATGAACTGATTTGAGTTAATCATCAAACGGAATGTTTCCGTTTCAAGAAAGCCTTAGCTTATGTATGTATAACTTGCCAGTAATCAAACTAAAAATGGACACATGAATAAAGATTGGTTGAGAAATAAAAATGCTGTTTAACTGTGTTTATTTAGATTCAAATTCTTGCAATTAAAGTATAAACATTCATCACGATGGGAATTATCTAAAGAGAACGAAGTTTTGACAATTCTAATTTGTTGCAAACAATATGAATGTGTCCATCTATAAATACTTTTTGGTAACATTTATTGTTTTCGATTTCATTCAAATTGAATACATGAAATGATGTTTCTTTCCCTTGAATAATCAAACTATTGGTAAACAAATCCCGATCTTTTATATCAAATGAAGCATCACATAAAAACCAATAACTATACGAATCAGAACTACGCAAAATGTGACTAATTTGAAAAAAATTGGATTCAAATAACAAGAGTAAACCTGGCTTAAAACACGAGTTATTCACTTTTAAAGATTTAATAATGATTTCATTTCCTTCAAGCGCATTGCATGATTTATAATGATCACAATCGTCGGTTTCATCAAATAGAAATTGGTCCATGCCGGGTTCAATCTCGTCACAGTATTTATTCTCGTTCAAACACATAGAAATTTGATGCTTTTCGGCTATAGTTTTGTTCAGGTTCGTGAAGTTGTTCGTTTTTTGTGCTATTGCTTTCAATTCTTGATGTTTAGCTTCCAGCCGCATAGCAGAAGTGAATACTGTTGGCCCCATAGTTCGAATTACTCTCGGATAATGCAGCAAAAGATGATGTTTTGGAATCAAGTCTTTGGGGACATTCACAACGAACTTTGTGTGGCACTCAATCGCCAATTCCAAACGATTCAAATCACTTTCGGTTATTTCTTCGCTGAAAACTATCTGGAGTATCTGAAGCAAAGATTGGACCAAAGTCCAAATTGTTTGAAGCTGGTTTTTGTACGGAATCAATATAAATGGAATGTGTGTTATGAGACAGTATAGTTGAGTCGCATTTTGGCCGAGATTTTTGCTGTTTTGGCAGATTCTCAATTTTGATGGGATGTTGCGCTTATTGAGAAACCCATAGTTGAAAAACTGGACCATGTTTTGTAGCTGAGACAAATTAAACAGCTTCTTATTGAAGCAATACTCAAATACGTAGCTCAAAGTAAAAGGCACCACTCCCTCGAGCAAATCATGCATGGGATCCACGCTATAGTTGGAAAGAATATGAAAATTCTTCAAGTCATTCAGCTTACAATATTGGTGAATGCCCTTTTTTCAGTCAAATCCAAATTTCCCTCCACGATGATGCGGTCACACATTTCATTATACGAATCAATATCTCGTAACTTTTCGTATCCTCTTTTGTCAACACTTTACACTCGTTTCTGTGGCAAGTACAAAATCGACAGAAATAGTTGGCCTGAAATCCTTGTGCCAAACCGTAGCAGACATTCGCACCCAAATTGTCAAAACACATGTTGATGAGGCACGCCTTAATGGTTTCACCGTTCAAAACTTCTATTCCAACGGTTTCAAGAATTTTCAAGTCCTCCAGAATGACTTCTATGATGTTATTGAAGCTCGCAGACTCATTCTTCAAATCAATTGTATCAGCCAAGGCAATTAAATAAACATTTGATAGTTTTGATTGTAGATTTTTTGGCATGTTGCGAATAGTCATGTAAAACGCGCATTTCTTATGCTTTC